TGAAGTATGTCATGGGGATTTTGATTGGGATTGCACTGAATCTATATATTGCTCTTGGTAGGTGGCCATTTTCATAATATTAATTCTTCCAATCCATGAGCATGGGATTGGTGTCACACATCTCCTGGTGTATTCTTCAATCTTTCTTTAATGATTTAAAATTTTCATTGTAGAGATCTTTGGTGTCTTTGGTCAGCTTTATTCTAAGATATGTTATTATTTTTTTTTTTTGTAGCAATTGTGAATGGGAGCATTTCCCTGTATTCTTTCTCCAATTACTTGTTATTGGTATATAGAAAAGCTACTGATTTTTTTAGATTGATTTTATAATCTGCCACTATATTGAAAGCGTTGATCAGTTCTAGGACTTTTCTGGTGGAACTTTTGGGAGCTCCTGCATATAGTATCATATCATCTGCAAAAAGTGATAGTTCGACCACTTCTTTTCCAATTAGTACTCCTTTAATTTCCTTCTCCTGTCTTATTCTCTCACTAGAGTTTTAAGCATTTTCTTGAAAAAGAGTGGAGATAGTGGACAGCCTTGTCTGGTTCCTGAATGCTCCCAGTTTTTTTTTCCCCATTTAGAATGATGTTGGTTGTGGGTTTGTTGTATATAGCTTTAATCATGGTGAGATATGTTCCCTCCAGTCTAATTCCCTTAGGAACTTTTATCATGAATGGATGCTAAATTTTGTCAAAAGCCTTTTCTGCATCTATTGAGATGACAGTGTGGTTTTTGTCTTTGAGTCCATTTATACAATTAATGACATTTATTGGCTTGCTTATATTGAACCATCCCTGCATCTCTGAGATAAAGCCTACTTGATCATGGTGAGTGATCTTTTTGATGTGTGTCTGTATGTGGTTTGCAAGTATTTTGATGAGAATTTTTGCATCTATGTTCATTAAGGATATGGTTCTATAGTTCTTTTTTGGTTGTGTCTTTACCCAGTTTGGGTATTAGAGTGATGCTGGCTCCACAGAAGGAATTTGGGAGTTCTCCCTCTGTTTCTATATTTTTGAATAATTTAAGTAGTATTGGTTGGAAGTCTTCTTTAAATGTCTGGTAGAATTCTGCTGTAAATCCATATGGGCCTGGGCTTTTTTTCGTTGGGAGGCTTTGTATTACTTTTTCAATTTCCTCATATGTTATGAGTCTGTTTAAACTGTTGATCTCTTCTTAGTTTAACTTTAGTAGTTCCCATGATTTTAGATATCCACCCATTTATTTCAGATTTTCAAATTTGGTAGCGTATACGTTTTTAAAATATTCCCTTATAATGGTCTGGATCTTTTGGGTGTCTATTGTGATGTTTCCCCTTTCATCTCTGATTTTGTTGATTTGGATTTGTTCTTTCTTTTGGTTAACTGGGCTAAGGGTCTGTCTATCTTGTTTAGCTTTTCAAAGAACCAGCTCTTAGATTCATTGATTCTTTGTATTGTATTCTTTGTTTCTATTTCATTAATTTCTGCTCTGATTTTTGTTGTTTCTTCTCTTCTTCTGGGTTTGGGATTCATTTGTTCTTGCCTTTCCAGTGCCTTAAGTTGCAGTGTTGGGGCATTTATTTGGGCTCTTTCTAATTTTTTAATGTAGGCACTTAGAGCTATAAACTTCCCTCTTAGGACTGCTTTTAAAGTGTCCCAGAAGTTGTGTTGTGTTGTATTGTCCTTTTTGTTGAATTCCAGGAATTCTTTTATTTCTTAATTTCTCCTTTGACCCACTAGTTGTTTAGCAGTGCATTGTTCAATCACCACAAGTTCATGTAGTGACTAAGGTTTTATCCGGTGTTGATTTTGAGCTTTATTGCTTTGTGGTCTGGTAGAATGCATGGGATTATTTCAATTTTTTTTGTATTTGTTGAGGTTTTTTTTTTTGTGACCCAGTATGTATCAGTTTTTGAAAAAGTTCCTGGGGGTGCTGAGTAGAAAGTGTATTCTTTGGTGCTTGGGTGGAATATTTGAAAGATGTCTGTTAGGTCCATTTGATGTATAGTATCATTTAATACAGATGTCCCTCTGTTTATTCTTTGTCCAGTTGACCTGTCTAATGGAGACAGTGGGGTATTAAAGTCCCCTAGTATTACTGAGGTTGAGTTAATCTATGTCTTAAAGTCCTGTAGTGTTTTGTTTTTTTTTTTATGAATTTGAGTGCACCAGAGTTTGGTGCATATTTGTTAAGGATTTTAATATCTTCATGTTTAATTGTTCCTTTGATCAGAATGAAGTGACCCTCCTTATTTCTTCTGATTAGTTTTACTTTGAAGTCTATTTTTTCAGATATTAGAATTGCAACCTCTGCTTGTTTCTTAGTGCCATTTGCTTGGGATATTCTTTTCCATCCTTTTACCTTAAGGTAGTGCCTGTCCTTGAAGGTGAGATGGGTTTCTTGGAGACTGCAAAGAGATGTTTTTTTTGTGTCTTTTGACTGGGGAGTTCAGTCCATTGATATTTAAGGTTATTATTGAAAGGTGTGTATTGGTTGCCATCATTTTGATTGCTGTTTGTGTTCTCTGTTTAATTTCATGTTTCCTAGATTTTACTTTTATTTTTTTTATTTTATTGCCCCTGGGGTATAGCTGTTTCTCCGCTCTCTGTATTGTTTCAAGTATTCTTTGAAGGGCTGGTTTTGTGGACATGTGTTCTTTCTGGCTGTTCATATCATAGAAGATTTTTCTTTCCCCCTCAACTATAATAGCCATTTTTTCTGGGTAAAGTATTCTTGGCTGACATCTATTGTCATTTGGAACTGGAAATACCTTGGTCCAGGCTCTTCTGGCTTTCAGAGTTTGCATAGATAAGTCAGCTGTAATTCTGATGGGTTTTCCTTTGTATGTGACTTGTTTTTCTTTTGCTGCTTTCAGTATTCTCTCTTTGTTCTGTACGTTTAGTGTTTTTACTATGATATGTTGTGGAGAGTTTCTTTTCTGATCCTGTCTGGTTGGTGGTCTTTGTGCTTCCTGTATTTGTATGGGGATGTCTTTCTTTAATTTCAGGAAATTCTCTTCTACAGTCCTGTTTAAGATTTGGTCAACATCATTAGCTTAAGATCTGGTCAATACCATTAACCTGAAATTCTTCTCCTTCCTCTATTCCTATGATACTTAGATTTGGTCTTTTCATGGTGTCCCACATCTCTTGCATATTCCATTCCTGTGTTTTTTAAAATTTTTCATAGTCTTTGCTTGAGTGATCCAATTCTTCAACTTTTTCCTCTAGTGTTGATACTGTTTTCCATTTCATTCATTCTACGGATGAGGGACAAGGCTTCACCCCCTACCCCCCCCCATTGTTTCAAGTCGGCTTATTGAGTTTTTCACTTCCTCCTTCCTTTCTACCTGAGCTTTCCTCAATGTTTCTATCTCTTTTGTGACTTCACTCAGAAGTTTATCCCTATCTTCTTTTAGCTCTTTGATTTGTTTGTTCGTGTGTTCTTTAAATTCATTGAATTACTTGATTATGTTTATGATCTTTTAAATTCAGTGTCCTGGGTTATTTCTAGGGGGTTCTCCTTATAGAACTCTTCTACAGGACTGGTGGGGTTTGGTGGGGACAGAGTGTTTTGGCTTTCCATTTTATTATTTTTTTCATTGTGATTTCGGCATGTGAATTTCTTTTGTTGTTTATGATTGTGGTATGAGAATTAAGTTGAAGTATACTTCTGTTTGTATTATCCAGGTGCCTAGATCCTTTCTTTATTGGTTATATAAAGCTGGTTGGCACAGGGTTCAAATTCTCTCAGGTTTAATTTGGAGAGAACTGATGACTTCAGATCAGCTATTCCGTAGTACCTACAGAAGCCCAATTAAGTTTCCAGTCAGGTACACTCAGGCTTCCTTCACCAGGTGGAGGCAGGATCTGGGCACTTTCAGGAACTCCACCCTCTCAGGTTGTCTGCTAGAATCTCAGCCTTAGCCTACCAAAGCCAGATCTGCCCTGGGCCCTTGGGAAGGTCCTCAGAAAATCCCAGGTAGAGCAATGGGTACGGCGCAATTAGGGGAAGCTCACCACCACGTGGAGGCAGAATACAGGGGCTCTCAGGCAGTCCCCTGAGTTCTCAGGCCCTCTGCCAGAGGGAGTCCAGAAGTTGGCACTCTCTGGTGGTCTGCCGAGATTGGAGCCACTACACAGATGGGGATTGGAACCCACCCTCTCAGGCTGTCCGCTAGGATCTCAGCCTTAGCCTACCAAAGCTAGATCTGCCCTGGGGCCTTAGGAGAGAACTCATGAAATCCCAGGTAGGGGGGTGGGTATGGCCAGAGGGAGGTTAGAACTGGCACTCTCTGGCTGTCTGCTGAGATCAGAGCTACTACACCAATGGAAGTTGGAACCCACCCTCTCCTTGACTTTGTATAGTATAAATTTAACACTATATTTTTAGTATTTCATTCACAAATACTATATTTACATCATTTCCATCCCTCCCTCTCCCCTTCCAACTTCTTAACATATTCCCCCCACTTGTCAATACTCTGACCTCTTCTATACTTATTTTTGTTGCATATATTCATCTCAACCTACTGAGTTCATTTAATGTTTCTTGTATGTACATGTGCGTAGGACTGACCACTTAGGATTTGATAGCCTATCTTAGGGAACTCATTCCTGGAGAAAACTGTTTTTTCTCTCTTAGCAGCCACTGGTTACCTATAGCTCTTCATCTAGAGGTAGAAACATGAAATTTCCCTATCCACAAGTAATGTCAGCTGGTCTTGTCATTATATAGGTCTTGCATTTTGTAAATAGTAGCATACCAGATGTCTTTTTTTATTTCCTGTACCTTGATTTTTTTCACCCAGTATTTTAGCTTAGATTTAGCTATCTGTAATCAGAGCAGCTCATAAACATGTATGGATTCTAAGAAAGCAGTATCTTCCTTTACTTGTTAAACATCCTTTAAAGCTGGAAATCAAGTGATCCAAAAGATGAGTACTTTTCTGTGTATTAGATATTGATCAGATAAAAGGCTAAAATTGGTTTATAAGATTTATTTTCTGTATTAGTTACAGAGGTTATGACTGTCGAAGTAATCTGTTCTACACTCAAATTGGTGAAATTGTGTACCATGTGGCAGCAGTGGGTGTCATTTATAATCGGCAGCAGAATACACAGCGTTTTTACTTGGGTCATGATGATGATATTCTGTGTCTGGCTATTCATCCTCTGAAAGACTATGTGGCAACAGGCCAGGTAAGTTCCTTTAAAATATCACATGATATTAAGTCCTTTTATTCAGTTTCAATTTAAATTAGCCCTCTTTTATATATGTATACCCATATGTATCACATTGTTCTAGGAAATGAAGAGTCAAGAATTGTTTGTAACTGGGCATGGATACTCATTTGCAATAATTCCAGCGCTTTGAAGTTTGAGGCAGGAGGATGGCAGGTTTGAGACTACCTGAGCTCCATAGCAAATCCCCATCTTAAAAAGAGTACTTGGAGAGCTGGAGCGATGGCTCAGCAGCTAAGAGAGTGGGCTGTACTTTCAGAGGACCTGAGTTCAGATCCCAGCACATTGCCATGTTAGACAGCTCACTACTGCCTCTAACTAGCACCAGGGCATCTGACTTACCCTTCTGGCCTCCATGGGCGCCTGCACTCACATGCACAGACAGACAGATGCATAGTTTTTAAAACTAAGATAGATTTTTTTTAATTTTTATTTTTTTAATTTTATGTATATAAGTGTATTGCCTGCATGTATGTGAGTGCACCCGTGTCATACAATGCCACAGAGGTCTGAAGAGGGCATCAGATTCCCCTGGAACTGGAGTTAAGGATGGCTCATGGCCACCATGTGGGTGCTGGGAATCGAACCTGGGTCCCCTGTAAGACCAGTCAGTGCTCTTAACCCCTGAGCCATCTCTCCAGCCTCAAGACAGATTTTTTTTTTTAAGAAAAAGAAAAGTATGTTGGGCATGGTGGTGCACGCCTGTAGTCCCAGCACTTGGGAGGCAGAGGCAGGCAGATCTCTGTGAGTTCAAGGCCAGCCTGGTCTACATAGTGAGTTCCAGGACAGCTGGGGGCTGCAGGGAGACCCTGTCTCAAAAAGACCAAAAAAAGAAAAAGTGCACAGTTGAGCAACCTTTCCTTGAGAAGCCCATACATGTAGGTATGTCCTATTCTTAAGGGCTGATTCGATGGCTCAGTGGGTAAAGGTGCTTGCCACCAAGCCTGATGACCTGATTTTGATCCCCGGTACCCACATGGTAGAAGCAGAAAAACAATTCTCACAAATTGTCCTCTAGTCTCCACAAGTACCCCTTCCCCCACCATAAATAAAAGGTGAAAACAAAAGATTTCTGCTAAAATATCTTTAATAAACTCTAACTCTTCTTTAAAAAATTTAATAGCTAGGTGTGGTGATATACACCTTTAATCCCAGCACTCTGGAGGCAGAGACAGATGGATCTCTGTGAGTTCAAGGCCAACCTGCTCTATGTATTGAGTTCCAGGTCAGCTGGGGCTACAGGGAGACCCTGTCTCAAAAAAGACCCCGCAAAAAAAATTAACTCCACTTAAAAATTCAAAGGAATGTAATAAAGATTACCCCAACTTTTTCCTTAATTATTATTAGACATATTGGCTCATTTTCTTTCTGTCAGGATTTTTTTAATAAGAAAAAGTTATAGAAAACATAAAGATTAAAACTCTGTTTTCTTTAGGCTGAGCTTCTAAAGTAATATAAGAAGTTACTTAAAATGCTCTATGACAACACAGAATGACTCTACCTTTTATTTTTCAATCCTGAAGAAACCCACCTGGGTTTACCAAAGCACCAAAGCACAGATACTAAAATAGAAAACATTGGAAAAGTTTCAGTTGATACCATATCTCTCTATGTGGGTATTTGTAAAGAAGGAAGAGAAATGTCCATAGATTCTGACTGCATTTTCCCAGCTTCAGGATGTTTATTCAGTTTCCTGTCACCTCACCTATTGAGAGTATTTAATACCCAAAGGCAAAAATGCCCCGGGTCCATGAACTGAAAGCTTTCCTCCTTATGAGAAGATTATCCGGGCTTTTGTCATAGTAAGGGAATGCTGACTAACCCTGAAGTGAGACATCCCAGGTGTGCTCCTCTGGTGCTCAAGCTGTGCACCAGCCAGACTGAATTGGTGCTTGAGTCCAACTCCCTCTGTTCATTATCTATGGGAAAATTATTGAACCTCTCTGCTTCTGATTCCTCATCTTTTAAAATAAAGATGCTATAAGTTATCTATCTTATGGAATTGTGATGATTGTTAAATAGGCCAGACTTTGTAAGGGCCCTGAAACAGTTTCTGGCTCCTAATCTGTTCTCAGTGAATATATGATCCACCATCATTCCAGATGAAATGTCCAATTGGCAGTTGAAAATGTAGGTCTTGAATGCAGGAAAAAATAATAAAGATATTTTGGAGATATTTGTTGATTAAGCATTGAACCTAAGGAGAAATACTTTGGGCAAAAATGTGGAAAAAAAGCCTGGATAATTAAAAAGGGAATTTTAAGGTTTATATTTAAACAACAGGTGACAAAATTATAAAGAAAACAGTAGTGAGAATCAAGGAGACCAGAAGACTAGGCAAGAGCAGCACTGTAAAACTATCAGAAGTGTCAGAACTTTCAGAGATCAACTACAACGTTTAAAATCACTAGTAATATTTAGATGGATAACTTAATAAGGTATTGACTGATTATAGTGTTGTTTTTGTTATATCTGTATATTAAAAAGTCTCAAAATTAAGCATAATTTATTTCTTTTTTTGTATTTTTTAATCTTTTTTTGTTATGTGATTTCTATACTTATGGTTTCAGGAGTTGCTTTTATATATGATAGTAGTCTATTTTTAATATTTTATTTATTGTTTTTATTTTTTATGTGTGTGCGTGTATTGCCTGCATGTATGTAAGTGCACCTGAGTCATGCAGTGCCCATGGAGGTCAGAAGAGGGTGTCAGATCCCCTAAAACTGAAGTTACAGAGAGTTGTTAGCTGCATGTGGGTACTAGAAACAGAACCCAGGTCTTCTGCAAGAGCAACTAGTGCTCTTAATCTCTGAGCCATCTCTCTAGCCCCAAGAGTATATCTGTTTATCTTTATAGTTAGAGATGGAATTACATGGATCTAGAGTAGTAATTGAGAATTGATAAATTACCTGTACATAAGTGACCATCATGAACCTAGTAGAGTAGCTTGACTTTTATTGCTATGGCAGAATACCTGAAATAACTTAAAGGAAGACAGATTTATCTTACATCACAGTTTCAGAAATTTTAGGTCCGTGGACCTTTGGCCCTTTTGCCTTTGGACCTGTGGCCCATTACAGTGGGGAACACATGGTGGGGCAAAGGTGCTCAGCTAGTGGTGGCTGAGAAGCAAAGAAAAAAGAATGGATTATGCTCCCATTTTCCCCTTTGAGGGGGATCCCCATTGACTTAACTTCCCCCTACTGGGCTCTATGTCTTAAGGGTTACACCACTCCTAATGCCACAAGCTGATGACTGAACTATCAAATGTGTCTCTGAAGGTACTTTTAGATTTGAACTCAATAACACCAAGTTAAAGATGAATGGGATGAGGAGCAGTCTTTAGAGTAATGTGGTGTGTTGGAAGTTTCTTCCATGTTACTCCATGAACAAGAAGAGGCAGAATAACCAAGGAGAGTTTACATTCCAAAGAAAGAAAGGAAGAACATTGGGAATCAAGAAAAAGGTGATAGCACAACTGAAAACCACAGAGAAACAGACACAAGCATGAGAACTTAGGAAAGTATAAATCTTACTAGAATAGATAGATGACAATTACGAAAGAATCAGACATAAGAAATCAATACATAACTTCACTCATGTAAAAAATGAAAGCCAGATGTGGCCATATGCACACCTATAATCCTAGTGTTGTGGGGGAGCAGAGACAGGAGGATTACTGGAGCTTTCTGGCTGTGAGCCTAGCTCTAGGTTCAATGAGAGACCCTGCCTCAAAGGAATTAGGTAAAAAGTAAGAGAGTAGAACACTCAGCATCCTCTAGCATCTACATGTGCATATATGCATGGACACCAACACAAATACACACACACATACAACACACTCATAAATACTGAAAAAGGGCTAGCACCAGTGCTCCTCAAGATATTCATAAAATAGAAATGAAGGAATCCTCAAAACACTCTGTGAAACTTTTGTACTTTATACAGTACAAGAAAGCAGATTAAAAATGCAATGAAAGTAAAACTATGGACCAGTTACCTTGAGGAACATAAGTACAGAAGTTTTCCATAAAATAATTGCAAACTGAATTTGACAACACATTAAAAATATTCACACTGTGATAAGTGAGTTTCATTTCTGATACTTCAACATATGCAATCAGTATAGCACTAAATATAATTATAGAAATAATATGATTATTTCAATAGGTACAAGAAAAGCCATTGACAAAATTCAGCATCTCTTCCTTATAAAAGCTCTGAGGGAACCATGGATAGAAGGATCATACCTCAGTGTCATAAAGGCAACAGGGACTGGAGAAGTGGCTCAGTGCATCAAGTGCTTGCCATGTGAGCATGAGAACCTGAGTTAAGATTCTAGGAACCCACATAAAGCCAGACAGGCATGGTGGCTGCCTATAATCCCAGCCCCTCAGGAGGCAAAGATAGTGGGTCCCTGGGCAAGCTGGCTAGCTAAAATAGGCTCAGTGAGAGACTGCCTCCATAAACAAAGTGGAGCGTGATTAAGGAAGACACTTGACATCAACTTTGGGCCTAAACACATACATGCATATACACCTGAACACATAATAAAAAAAAGGGCTATATAGAACAAGACTATAGTCACCATTGCAAACTGAGTGGGAGAAAACTGAAGGCATTTTTTTCTAAAATCAGAAACAAGAAAAAGGTGCCTGCTATACTTATTCAGTATAGTGCACAAATTTTTAGAGCAGTAAATAAATGGGAGGAAGAAAAGGTATACAAATAGGAAATGAATCAAATGACTATGATCTTTAAATGATAATATCCTAAACCTAAAAGGCCTAAGGTTCCACTAGAAGACTCTTAGGTCTAATAAATACTTGCAGCAGGGTATTAGAGCAAATTAATCTTTTAAAAAAATCAGTAACTCATATATATACCAATAGTGAAGATGCCGAGAAATAAATCAGGAGAGTCCATTGATAATAATCTCAAAAGAGAACCCTAGGAATAAACTTAAGAAAATGAAAGACCTCTATAATGAAAAGTATAAAGCAACAGAGAAAGACATTAGAAGTTGAAAAGACATCCCATGCTCATAGGTCAGCACAACTAATATTTAAAAGGCCGTGTTATCGAAGTGCAATCTACATCAAAATTCCAGTTTTGATGCTTCTGCTTCAGAGACCTAGAAAAGAGAATTACAACATGCGTATGGAAACATGAAAGACTCCCAATAGCCAAAGCAATCCTGACCAAAAAGAGCCAAACTGGTCTACTAATACCTGGTTTCAGATTATACTATAGCACCATACTATCAAGAACAGCATTTTGCTGACCATAAAAAAAACAGACATATAGACCAGTAAAATAGAGAACTCAGAAGTAAATCTGTATGGATCCAGACACCTGAATCTTGGCAAAAAGGGCCAGCACCATGCATTTGGGGGTGTGGGGGGGCTTTAATAGTGGTGCTGGAAGCACTAGATATCCACATTTAGAAGTCTGAACCCAATTCCTGTCCCTTACCCTGTACAAAAATCACTTCAAAAAGGAACTGAGGAGTGGTATTTCATGCTATAATCCCAGCACTTGAGATACTAAAGCATGGAGTCCGCACTAGTTTGAGGCTGGCAAGGGCTGCAAAGTAGAACCCTGTAGCAGCCACAACAGCACCACCTAGGAAAAGCACTTCTAAGAATACAGGCATAGGCAGAGAGTTTCTGAGTAAGACTTAGTAGCTCAGGAAATAACAGCAAGAATTGACAAGTGGTCTTACATAAAAAGCTACAGAGCAGAGAAAATAATTACCAGAGTGGAAAATAGCCTTCAGAATAGGAGACAATCTTTTTCAGCTCTTCTTCCAATAGAAAATTGACATCTAGCACATAGAGAACTCAAAAATGAAACACCAGGGGCTGGAGACATGGCTCGGCAGTTAAGAACTCCTGCTGTTCTTCCAGAGGACCTGGGTTCAAATTCCCACATGGCAGCTAACAACTATCCATAACTCTAGTTTCAGGGGATCCAGCACTCTCTTCTGTCTTCTGCTGGCATTGCATGACATGGGTGCACTTACATACATGCAGGCACAATACTCATACACATAAAAAATAAAAATAAATTAAAAAAAAAAATCAAACACCAAGCCAGGTGTGGCGGAACACACCTTTAATCCCAGCACTCAGGAGGCAGAGGCAGGCAGATCTCTGTGAGTTTGAGGCCAGCCTGGTCTCCATAGCAAGTTCCAGGCCAGCTGGGGCTACAGGGAGACCCTGTCTCAAAAAGACCAAAAAAAAAAAAAATCAAACACCAAAAGAAGAAATAATATATGAGCAAATGAACAGAACGAAATGTGTCAAAAGAAGTGTAAGTGGGCTGGAGAGATGGATCAGTGGTAAGAGTACTGACTGTTCTTGCAAAAGATCCAGTTCAATTCCTAGCACCCACATGGTGGGTTCACAGCCATTTTTAACTCCACTTCCAGGGGTTCTAATGCTGCCTTCTGGCATTGCACAATGCTGTCTAATGTCTAATGTCTCTGCAGGCATTGCACAACATGGATGCAATTACATGCATGCAGGCATAACATTCATACACATAAAATAAAAATAAATAAATTTAAGAAGAGTGTGACTGCACCTGAGGATTTATGTTCAGTTAGTGATTGTTGAATGAGGAGTATGGTAAGGTATGCATGCTCCTGTAAACAACCCCTCACCCATCCTCCTATAAGCAATGCTAATGAAATTCAGGAGTCACAAAAAGAGGCATGATAGTAGAAGAATAGAAGAGAGACTATTGGAAGTGGGTGTGGTGGTACACATCTTTAGTGCCAGTGCTCTGGAGGCAGAGGCAGGTGAATCTCTGTGAGATAGAAGCCAGCCTGGTCTACATAGCGAGTTCCAGGCCAGCTGGGGCTACAGGGAGGCCCTATCTCAAAAAACAAAAAGCTAATGAATGGGGTAAATATGACCATATGGAAATATCACAATGAAGCCCATTATGTGTAATTAATATATATTAATAAAATTCCCAAACAAATACTGTTCAATATCTTTAACCATCAAGGAAATGGAGATCAAAGCTAAGCTCAGATTCTGTCTCATCCCAGTTAGACTGTCATCAAGAAAACTAAAAACAAATGCTTTAGAGAATGTGGGCAAGGGAGAAGGAACCCACCTAATACACTATTGGAATGTACATTATCACAGCCAGTATGCAATTAAATGTAAATGTTCCTAAAAAAACTAAACCTATCATATGATCCAGCTATACCATTCCCTGGTGTATACCTGAATGGATAAGGATACACTAGAGACATGCCTGTATACAGCACTATTCACAGCAGCAAAATTTATTTACTTACGTTTATTCATTTATTTATGTATGTGTACGTACAATATTCTAGTACACAGGTGTGTGTGCCCATAGAGAGGCCAGAGCACCATGTCAGGTGTCGGGGACTTTACTTCCAAAGGGCTTACTTAGATGGCTCAGCCTCCCCAACTTTAGCGTATGAAACATACAGCTCTCTCTTGGGCTGGTACCATTCCCTGTATGCAGCTCTCCTTGGCAGATGTCTCACAGCTCTGGCATCACGAACATCTTGGAGTCTCCACTGCCAACCAGGTTTCACCTTCACAGCTTCACACATGGCCTATGAGGGCCTTTTTTATGGGACACCCCTGCTGCACACTGCCTGGCCTCAGCAGCTGTCTGAAACCATGGAGGAAGAACCAACAACTCCTTCACTCTTGCATCTTTCTTGCTTCTAAAGTCAGCACCAGGTGATCAACACTGCCAAGTTTTTCTGCAAGTTTAAGATGGACCCCAGCCATCTTCATCCACATTTGAAGCTTTTTTCTTAAGTGATTTCCTAGTAGAAAACCCCTGCTGTATTTTCCTTTCACAAATTGGAGGCCTAGCTGGGTGTGGTCTTGCCCTGGAGGCACTCTCTCCATTGTTTATGTGCAAATCTCCAGGCCTCTTCTTAATCACTTTAATCTCCTTATCAAATGGATCCTTTCCTTCAGCACATGCCTTGGCACCAATATTAATGTTCCTGTGCTGTTTTTCAATCCAAACTGTACATTCTGCATTTCTTTCCTCTCCATTTGTCCTTTTTTATTATAGATCTGCATAATAGTCACCATTAATAGCCACACCACCATTTCTGCATTAGGCTGCCTTGAAATATCACCTGCCAAAGAAATTAATTCATTGCTTTTCAACTTAGCCTCCAGCAAGCTTTGTAACTGTGGGCAGACTTCAGCCAGACTCTGCCAAAATATTCCAGTTGCTGCTTAAGTTCTTATTTCTCTTTGGATTACATTGTTCTCAGCATTACTTTCTTCTGGTGCCTACTAGAATGGCCTGTTAAGCTCTGTTTATAGCAGTCAACACTTTTCTAGCCTAAACTTCCAAAGTCTTCCACATTCCTCCAAAAACCCACATGGTCAGGTTCTTCACAGCCAACACCCCACTCTCGGTACCAACTACTGTATTAGTTACTTTTCTTTTGCTGTGATAGAAGCACCATGACCAAGGGAACTTATAAAAGGAAGAGTTTATTTAGCTTACAGTTCCAGAGGGGCAGGAGTCCATCATGGCTGGGAGGCATGGAGGCAGAGGAGGCTGGAGTAGGCCACACCTTCTAAGACTTCCCAACTGGAGACAAACTGTCCAAATATTTGGAGCCTGTGGGGGACATTCTCATTCAAACCTCGACATATTCTAGCCCATCGCCATGACTACACCCTCCACATACTCTAATCTAGAATATTGTAACTTGCTTCTCTTTATCTAAATCATGCACTTTATGAAGACAAAGCTCCACTATCTCTTTCATGAAGTATTTTCTCCAATGCTGCTTTATTCTCATTAAGCGTATTATTACCATGTGCTCTTAATTTAAAATATCCTGTTTTTCTAAGGAGTCTACAAAATTTTCTGAATGTAGTAATGCCCATAGCATCTAACACAGTAACTCTGACCATAACAAGTACTTAGTAATCATTTATCTTTATTGATGAATTATAGGAGATTTAGAAGGGATCATGTAGTTCTATAATATTCCTAGAAATACTGTGCATAGCCTTCCTAGCTTTTTTATTTTCATCCTGGATATCAAACCAAGGGTCACATAAATACTATCCCATATTAACATTAGCAAAATAATGGGTCTTATTCTGCCATTTTTGTTTTTACACATTTGTACCATTTTACTTTATTCTTATTTACCCTCACTTGGTTGACTCCCACCTCTCTTTAGATCTTGAAGGCATGTTAACCAAAAAAGGTCATGCTTATAATCTGCTTTATATTTTTAACAAATCTCTATGGAAAATAAAAGCTATGCAATCCATTTCCTTTTAACAGATATAAAAATAATTGTTTAAAGTGGCTTTTATAATTCTATTTCAGATAGGTAGAGATCCCTCAATTCACATATGGGATACAGAGACTATTAAACCCTTGTCAATATTAAAGGGCTACCATCAATATGGCATCTGTGCTGTTGATTTTTCAGGTAAGACTTTTCTGTCTCATTAAGAATGAACAAAATGTGCAGGCAAAATATGGTATTTAAATCAGGATTACCTAATCCTTGTCAAATGTGCATACTGTTGTTCTAATCAGACATAAAGATGAAACTACGTTTCCTGGCTTGCTTATAATTACAGTTAATGAGTATAGTTTTAAAACACTTTTAAATGTTACAAATTAAAAAATGCTTTCTGCAAAACACCTAAAATTGTCTCAGTTACATTTGTAATATGGTACCTTCCCTTTGGAAGCATTGCACTCAATCTTTTACAGCTTTACAATATGTAGGGTGCAAGTCTAATAGTGAAGGAGATGAGAGCTGAAGTCTTTGTTTAGAGATTCTTCTGAAGTGGCAGATCCAGGGTATCTTATTTCAGTTCATGCTGTCCATTTAGCAGCTACAGACGGGTCTACAGTGAAAGCTGGTTTGTGGGAGAAAATGTTGTTATTGAAGAAATTAATATTATAAAAATTAATGTTTTTGCTGTTCTAACTGAAGTTCTAAGTTATCCTTAAGTGGGATTTGGGGGGAAAAAACAAATGTACACATATATTTTCAAGAGTACTAATAGTAGAGAAACAAGAAAATGTAAAAGAAACTGAGTGGGTCAACAATAAAAAGCTCACTGGTAGCACTGAACAGCTAAGGTCTATGAAAAGCGAGGCAGGTGGAAAACATTCCTTACAGTCTGAGCCTTCTAACTATGAACACAAGCACACTTGTCAGTATGTCTCATCAGTCATTTGTTTCAATGATTTAATATACCCATTATAACAACTAAAAATTGGCCTTCACTAAAAACTTCCATGTTAATGACAACATGTGGTAACCTATATGTTTTTCATTGATGAATTTTTCATAGTCTCTGAGTTCTTAATACCACAACAGAGTTTAGTAAATTTAATTGAGGTAGATCTGTTTTCATCCCTCCTTTCTTAACTTTTTCTCATTTTCTTCCTATGGATTTTTTGTTTTTAATCTATATTTATATATATATGGCATATAGTGTGATGTGTGTGTGTGTGTGTGTGTGTGTGAGAGAGAGAGAGAGAGAGAGAGAGAGAGAGGCGCTAAGGATAGATTCTAGGGCTTTACATATGCCAAGCAAGTATTCTACTATTGAGCTGTACCTTCAGCCCCTAGTGTAATGTTTTGATACAGGCACACGCTGTGTAATAATCAGTTCAGAAGGTATTTAGGATACCCATCATTTCATACATTTACCATTTTCCCATTCCCTTCCTCTTCCCAACCTAATGAATCATAAGTAAATGAGGTCCGATGTCCTGATGATTCAAAAACCCATTATCCCAGGTGAAAGATGGGTCAGTGGGTAAAAGCACTTGCTGAATAAACCTGAATGCCTAAGTGTTCAGTCTTTGGAACCCACATAAAGGTGTATGGAGAACTCCACACTCTATCACACACATAAATACCAATAATAAAATTAAAGAAACTGTTAATCCCTATTCCCTTCTAAATTCTGGTTCTTTTCATAGATCTATGCAAATCTCACCTTTGTCATTACTTTTTGAAATTTTAAATATAGTGCTATATCATATTAGTTAGTTTTCTATTGTTACAACAAAATACCTCAGGGTGGGTACTATGAAAACAGAGATTTACACAATTTTGGAAACTGAAAGTTCAGGTCACATGACTGCTGGGTCTGCTTACGTTGAGAGTCCCTTTGGCTGTGTCACACCATGGCAGTATCATGGTAGGAATGAGTGCAAAAGAGACTGTAATCGCCTACACTGGGCCCATCCTTTAATAGTTCTGCCAGCCTACACTGAGGGCCAAACATCTAGGACACGAGGCTTGGGTGTAAGATATACTCAATTGAGAGCACATGGCTTTAGAAAACATGTTAGATGGCTTTTACTTCTGAATCTTAATGATGAGTAAGTATCTTTTTGGTTGTCACAGCGGATGGAAAACGTTTGGCTTCAGTTGGAATAGATGATAGCCACACTATTGTGCTATGGGACTGGAAGAAAGGAGAGAAACTTTCAGTAGCAAGGTAGGGAAATCTTGATCACATTGGCAAAATACTTTTGCTGTTATGGACTTGAAATGTTTTGTAATTATTGTTATTTTGAAATCAAGCTAATGTGTAAGTTTTTGTTGCCACCAGCTTTATTACCTTTAAACAAACAATCAAGATAAAAGATAAATGATTTCATAGTTTCTTTGTAGGACTAGCCCTTGTGAACCCACTTTTTAATGTGACTATAATGTGGCATGAAAATTACTATTATCTCAATTTTCCATTTGTAAATAGAGTAAATTCTGTATGATAAGCTATTAAATACCAACTGGAAGGCCTAGAAAAACACTCGTATATTTAAGTGGAAGATAGAAATACATCATGAAGAAATTATGTGCTATTTTTCTTATATTTTTCACGAGCATGTTTTACTTTTATAATAAAAAAATGAAAAATAAAAGTTCTTATATTTTAAATGAGCAGGTTTTACTTTTATAATAAAAATATTAACAGTGCTCTGAAATAGTCTACCATGCCAGAGGCTACATTCTAAATTTTCTAGTCCTTCAAGTGTGATGCTAAAGTACTTTTAAAATATAAAAACTTTTTGCAGAGCATACAGATAATGTCCAAGGACATGATAGTTTAAAAGGAACTATGAGGAGCTGTTGAGATTGCTCAGCAGGTAAAGGCACTTGACACCAAGCCTGACAACCTGAGTTCAAACCCCAGGACTTATATGGTAGAAGGAGATAAAAGACACCCTCAAGTTGTCCTTTGAACTCCCAACATGCCAACATAGATACTGTGCCATGCATACCCCTCCCCCATAAATAAATGCAGCAAACAATTGTTCAGTGAACAGTGGACTCAAGATAGGATAATAATTAAACAAAAACTTGTTAAAGAATAGATTTATCTGCAGATCTAAAACACTTTGGTTTATTTCAGAGGAAGTAAAGATAAGATTTTTGTTGTAAAAATGAACCCCTACGTGCCTGATAAACTCATTACAGCTGGAATTAAACACATGAAATTTTGGCGTAGAGCAGGTAAGAAAATGTTTCTTTTGACTCTTTTGAAATTTAATAAATTGTTACCTTTAAAGTAATTTAGCTAATACAATGTAGTATGCTGAACTTGATCCTGGAACAGAAACGGAAAATTTGTAGAAAAACTGAAATCTGAATGAAGTGTGGAATTCAATGTAAAAAAATGTTGGTTTCTTAGTCCTGGCAAAGAGGTAGTGATATTAAGGTGTTAACATCGAGGGAAACTGAGTATAGAGGAACGTTACTTTTACATCTTTCTATAGACCTAAAATTATCCAAAATAAGCTTATGCATTAGAGGGGGTTGGAGGTCACTGGTAGAATGCATTCGTAGCCTCCCTAAGGTGCTGGGTTTGAGCTCCAACATCAAAAAATAAAGAGGGAAAAGAAGTTTCTTTTTTTTATTATTTTGTTTATTATTTTTATTTTATGTGTCTGACTGTATTGCCTGCATGTAGGCAAGTGCACCCATGTCATGCAATGCCCGCAGAGGACAGAGGAGGCTGTCTGATCCTCTGGAACTGGAGTTATGGACAGTTGTTAGCTGCCATGTGGGTGCTGGGATTCGAACCCAGGTCTTCTGCAAGAACAACCAGTGCTCTTAACCACTGAGCCATCTCTCCAGCCCCAGAAGTTTCTTTTTTAAGGGGTGCTGTTGTCTTGGTGCATTTTAAACAAATGTGAACTTATATACTATTTATTTTTGCCAAAAGATTTAACATGAGATTAATCATTTGATGTACAGACTTCCTTATGTTGAAGACATGTTTTATAGTCTAAACTAAAATTGAAAGATTTTGTAAAAATGCCTTATAATGCTATAAAATAATATAGAAATTAAAAACCAATATAGAAATGAAATGGTCTGATGCTTTATTCATCTGTAAGTTACAAATATGGAATAAACTCACATTTACAATAAGAAATATCTTTTCAAATGGAATAGTATACCTGTCCCAGCAGTGTGACATGAAAGTCCCAATGAACTCAGCCCTTTTAGAGAAAAATGTATAGCTATGAGAACTCAAGTGTATCAGAATAGAACAAGTTCTGTGAAGACATTTCCCAAGTTCAAGTGACTTCCAAGTTGTAAACTGTATGGGACATGAATTATTTAATACTTTATCACAGACTCATCAAGTCATAGTGTAAACATTTACAAAGTGAAATCACATTTGTTATTTCATTCCCATATATGTAAACGAACTTTTCATTTGGCTATCTTAGTTTCTGGGTATTGAGAATGCGCAGTAATTAAGACTTAATATTTCTGTCTTGATAAAAAACAAAAGCTAAGCCATATGTATTTGTCTGAAATAAGATATTTAAAGAAATTAAATAGCTTTAAAAATAAAAAGATTCATTGTGGAAAACTGGGTGGAAAGATTGTAAGAACCAGAGATGGTGTATGACCACAAGAAAATAGAATTTTCTAGACAGCTGGTTAGTTAGTCATATGAATTCACAGCAATGGTAATATTAAGCACAAGTCCCATGCAAGCTCAAACCAGACAAAATGCCAGCATGGATATGGGGAACTGGGTTAAAAAGCCCAACCCAACCTAAGGAACTTTTGGTAACCGATGGCTGCTGGGAGGGAAGAGACAATCCCTTTCAAGGATGGGACTCGTGGTAGATTAACCAGGCTCCAGTGGATGAACCCATACTGAAGGATATTTGGGAATACAAATTAGACACTATAGGCCTTATTTATATATTACAGAGTACATTAAATTGGGTGGGAGCAGTAAGAGGAGGTGTGGATAGGGGAGGGGATCTAAATACCGTTAAATTATATTGCATAGAAAAAAAATCACAAAAATTCCATTTAAAATTTTCAAATAAATGAAAATTAAAAGATTTGCAATTAAGTAATATTCTCCTTAAGCTTTTTTAATATTTTATTTATTTATTTACTTTTGTGTGTATCAGTATATTGCCTGCATGTATGTAAGTGCATCCGTGTCTGCAATGCTTGCAGAGGTCAGAGGAGGGCATGGAATTCCCCTGGAACTGGAATTATGAATGATTGTTAGCTGCCATGTGGGTGCTGGGAATCAAACCTGGGTCCTCTGCAAGAGCAGCCAGTGTTCTTAACTGCTGAGGCATATTTCCAGCCCCAAGTTTTGTTAGGTGTAATACTAACCTTACAACTGAAAAATAAATGGATAAATTTTAAGGGCTTCATGTACATTTTCAGAGGTCAGTTCTACAGAGTTCACTAGGAAAGTAAAAATAATTATCTATTTTATTTATTTTTGTTCTAGTTTCTCCATTGCTGTAACAAAACACTCTGACCAATCCCAACTTGGGGAGGAAAGCATTTATTAGGTTACATGTCCCGGGGTCACAGTTCATCAGGGAGCCCTGGTGAAGGTAGGAATCAGAGCAGGAACCTGGAGGCAGGAGCTGGAGCACAGGCCATGGATGAATGCTGCTTACTGGCTTGCTCCTTGGCCCCTGCTCAACCTGCTTTCTTATGCAGCACAGGTCCACCTGCCCAGGGGTGGCACCACCCACAGTGGTCTGGGCCCCGCTATGTCACTCAGCAATCAAGAAGATGCCCCACAGACATAGCCACAGGCCAGTCCAATGTAGGCATTCCCTAATTGAGGCTCCCTCCACCCAGGTGTGTCAAGCTAAAGCTATCCAGCACAATTTTTTTGTTGTTGTTCTTTTTGTGACAGGGTCTCCCTGTAGCTCCAGCTGTGCTGGAACTCACTGTGTAGACCAGGCTGGCCTTGAACTCACAGAGATCTGCCTGCCTCTGCCTCCCAAGTGTTGGGATTAAAGGCATGCGCCACCACACCCGGCCTCCAGCACAATTTTTATGTGTATTCATGCTTAGAATGCATTTATGTAAGTATGCCTACAATACCTTCAGAGGCCAGAAGAGGGCGTTGGATCTCCTGGAACTAGAGTTAGGGCCATGTAGGTACTGGGAACTGAACCTGGATTCTCTGCAAAAGCAGCCAGTGCTTTTAACCATTGAGCCATCCTCTAGATCAGTGACCTATTTTCTTAATCTAAGTATTGCCTAACCCTCTGAATTCATAGTTACTTGAAGGACATGACTTAGGTCTGAAGCTAAAAATGGAGTCTCATGCAACCCAGCCCTACATTTAGAATTCAGGAATTCTAAGTCATGAATTATCAATCTTTCCCTAAGATTTTGAAATCTACTTCCTAGGGACTTAGGGGACAGAGAGCCACTGAAAGCTTTTTAGCGCAGTGGTGACATTGCCTTATTTAATAAGAACATGTTCTCCTATATCTATCAGAAAATCCAGGGATCAGTTATCCAAGCCAGGAGTGACAGTTTTTTGTATAAATAGTAATGTAGCAAATAGTGTAGGATCTCAGGCCAAAGGTGAGAATCTTAGAATATAGTGTAGGTACTTGAAGAGCAAGACAGAAGATCATCCTGTTTTTTGATTATGTGTTTATATACAGTTGCCATTAATTGGAAGCATTTTGAAGGTTGATTGACCTAACAGGCTGGGATATAGAGGGTACTGTGGTCGGCTTCACTCTGAAGCTGTATTTCAGTGACTCATAGATCCCAATGTGTCATTTTTTCTGAAGAGACAGACTCTGAACTTGGGCAGCTGTCAAACACCAGATAACTACCAGACTGAGGATCCACTGCTATGTGCCTACCATTGCCATTACCAGAATCCTCAACCAGATTAGTGACCAGAAGCTCTGGAAAGCTGCTAGTTGCAGCTGCAAATCAGGAAGGCAGAGTGTGGGAGCAGAGCCAGAACCATTTATTTTCTGTGCCTTTAATGCTAACCTGCTCCATGGTCTTCATATGAATTCATTGGCCACAGGACACCTGTGGTTAATTGTTTATTGACCGTGTTTTAGATGAACAGTCTGTGCTCTGTGAGAAGCCCTGTCCCCTACTTATATACTGAGTTCGTTTTCTTCTCAAGGATATCAGTTCTTCTCTCCCGAATCATCAATTTTTCTTCTCTACTTAGCTTGCCCTTCAGCATAAAATGTGCTATAAATAAATGCTCCATCTTAAGTGAAACAAAACTTTTCAATTCTGTCTTCTAGTTCTGATCATTTTCTCTTTGTTATGATGTAGATATGAAATCCTCCACAGGTTCATGTGTTTGAACACTTGGTTCCCAGCTGGTGATGCTGTTTGGGAGGCTGTGGAAACTTTGGGACATGGGACCTGGCTGACCTGCTTACACCTGTAGGGGGTTAAATAGCTCAGGCACAGTTCTAGCCCTAACTCATTGCTCTACCATCCACCAAGACATGAGTAAGCTATACTACAGGCTCCCACCGCTATGGGTAGGAGCTGGTACAACTGCAATACCTTCCCTGCCATGAAACTGCAAGCTTAGATTCTTCCTCCCTTAAGCTTCTTATCAAGTATTTGGTACAGCAATGACAAAGTAACTAGTATATCCTTTTTATCTATATATTAAAGCACCTCTAGTTTTTATACTTTCACTTTGTAGTTTCTCTCCTTCTCTTCAGAGAAGTCTAATTTAGTTTTGTTCTCTTACCAGTCTACCTAGTTCCTCTTGACAGGTAATTAATGTCTCTGTCTGTTGGTGTTAAGATAAAATAATCTGAACACATATAGAATCTAATTGCTCTTCACCCTCATCCTTGCCTCTAGACTTCCAATGTTTTACATCCTGTCCCTCTTTCAATGCATTCTCAACTGAGAAGCCAAAATGAACCACTTAATAAACCATATCCCAGAGCTTGTTACTGCCTTGTGTGAATTAAAAGTTCCACCCCGAGGGTGGAGAAATGGCTCAGCAGCACACATATAGAGTGGCTAACAACTGCCTGTATCTCCAGCTCCAGGGTGATCTAACATCTCTGGCCTCTGAGCACTGGAACTCAGGTGTATATATCCATATACATACATATAATAAAATAATAAAGTTATTCCCGTAAGCTTCTGACCATTTTGACTTCATCTCCTGTTACCATCTCTTGCTTTCTTTGCTTCTACATTTTGGTCTCAGTAGTTGTCCTTGGAGATTTCAGTCACTTTCTTGCACTGAGGCTTTTGCACTTGCTGCTTCTATTAGAAACATTACTCTAGCATGGTTTGCTCATACTGTATCCTCCCATTCTCTCCCAGTCACTTGCAGTAATGGAAACTGCAACTAGGGCCTTGTGCTTGTTAGGCAAGGACTCTACCATTGCAGCCCTCAGTTATTTATTTAGACATCATCATCTTGATGAGGACTCTCTTTAGCCACTTTCCTTAAAATGGACTCCCACCGTCTTTCTCCTTTTTAGGCTTGTGTTTTTCCAAAGCACCCACAATCACCTAACATGCTATATATTTTACTTCTCACCATGGAGCTCCATAAAACAGAACTTTGGTGTCTTACCTGTTATGTCCATAGCTATCGTTCCAGTACCCTGGCTAGAGTGTAGCACATATATTTTTTGAGTAAATGAATGGATGAGTTCATTGGAAAATGGGCAAATGACATCAATAAATAATGAATGGGCCAGAAAAATATGAAAACTGACCAAACTCATTAATCTAACACATATGCAAATTGAAGTCGCAGTAAAAAATCAGTTGGCATTTCACAGTTCCCTAGTGTGATAATAACTAGTGCTCCCAGCAATGGTAAACAACAGGAATAGTTTTCATTGTTAGGGAGTAGAAGTTGGTATATTAACTTTGGGGAACAAATTGAAAAGAAGTGTTGATGTCTGTCTTAATTATAGACTGTTCCCTTTGCACATTACCTTATATCAACTCCTGGACATTTCTTGAGAAACTCTTACGTCCTTATAAGAATCTTTAAAGGAACATTATTCTTTTCTTTTTTTTTTTTTTTTTTTTTT